TTTTCCCACCTGCACTACAGGAAATAAGGTAGCAGTTAAGATCTTATTGCTTTAAATATTGTTATGAAGCCAAGATAAGCTCAATCATTGAGCTTTCTTGTAAACTCTTAAAAATGCCTGCTTTTTTATGTAGTTGTGATGTACAATCCTAATAAGGATAAATTATAAGACCAAACTCTACACAGAAAATGAAATGTGCTCTAGCCGGTTTGGCTCAGTGGTTAGGGATGCATGAGAGAGGCAACCAATAGATGTATCTCTCTCACATCAATGTTTCTCTCTCTCTCTCCCTTCCACTCTGAAAAGCAATGGAAAAAATATCATCAGGATTAAAAAAAAGAAAAAGAAAAGAAACAGAAATGTGTTGCTGAGTATGACACCAAAGAAATTAAATTGCACCGCCCCTTTCGCTTTAAAAGCACCTCATGAATAAAATTCGAAATCCAAGAATAAGTTCCATTTAAGGCTCAAATGCAAAATGAAATCAAAGATCGTTCTACGAACCTATAAGAATACTTTCTCTAATTGAATATGAATTCATAAATAAAATATACACTCATCCACTCATTCTCTTAAAAGGTTTAAGGACTCAAACTGTAAGCTTAGGGGGAAGGAAGGTAGAGAGAGACTTGATTCCTGTCTACCTCAAACATCTCAGACTATCATGGTCTAGAATGGTCTATTTTAAGACAAAAGCATTTCCTGCTATCTGCTCTAAATTAGGTTAAGTTTATTTCCACATATCTCAGCCTCAGCCCATCACCTGAGCCCTGCTGACAGGCCATGTGAGCTGAGATCATCAGTATCTCCCAAGATTTAGCCCAACTTAAAATATCCTTTTTTTTTTTCTCCTTATTGGCATCCCTCACTTTTTAAAAATTTTGGGTCACAGACTCCAGTTAATTCTAAAACTTTTCTAGAGGAAGACATGGTATTGCACAGACCTCAAACAAGAAGTGGCTGACCAGGAGCCAGATGCTGCCAGATGTGTTGTATATGACTAGCCCAGTGCTCTTTAGAATTTTGACCTAGTTGCCAACATAGAGAGATACACATATTTCACATTAAAATCCAGATTCTGGCTCTGAAGAGCCTGAAAGTCTGACAATGTCAGGCCCACTTCCCTACATGGCAATGACTGGTGAGCGCCAATCACCAGCCTGGACTTCAACATAAGAGGAAGTCTAAGTTGGTGACTGGGATGTATTTTAGGGAGGTTTCTGCTGTGTGAAATTGGGCTCAGTCCTGCTGGAGGAGCTCTGAGAGACAGTGTAAAGCCTGCCTCAGAGTTACACCTCCATTCATCACCGGCAGAGGACTGCTCCTGGCACCTCCAGCCTGTGCTGGAGAGGGCCAGGAGAAAGCCCTCATGTTCCGATAAAGAGATGTGAGTGGGGCATTGTGGTATGTGCTACACCACGGCACACCTGTGGCTGAGCCTGGTCACTGACAGACTGGGTGGGCCTTCCCTTGCAGGACCACACAGTGGTGCCTACGAAGGGCACCTGCATCTTCCAGTCTGAGGAAGACCAGCCTTAACAGTGACACCTTGTGGCAGAAAGATGCAATCATGTGGCAGACTGGTGGATCCCCTCACTAGGAGCAATGTAATTTGAGGGTAGAGGATGGGGGAGGAGACGGGGAGAGGTGGAGAGAGGTGGGAAGGAGCCCTAGTGAAAAGAATTGGACTTCCAGCTAAGTGGGAAGGCAGGTTCCAGCATTCTTGATTTAATTTAGATGAATAAAACTGGGAGCCAGGTTTTTTAATAGTAATTCATGTATGCCCCAAAAGCCCTTCCACATGTTATAATTTGATATTAATTTGTGTCATCATTGCTTGAGGTCTCTCTTCCCTCCTACTTTAACTCCTACTCTGCACTCCAGGGTTTAACATTCATTCTAACATTTGTGGGGCCCTGGCAAGAATACAAATGGAGGCCCCAATAACATCTGTCTATACATTTTAAAGTTATAAATCAGGCTAACAAACTGGTAGATAAAATACATTCTATCCTTCTACCTTGAAAAATATAAAGATGTGGATATTGAGGTTTGAATTTTGAATTTAGAATTTTTGAACTCCTCAGAGTTCTGGCCAAAACATGGTAGCAAGAGGGAGGCCTGCCCCAGCCAACATCCTTCTCTCCCCACCCTGGCTCAACATTGCAAACTCTGCAACCTGCACACTAGGCTAGCTCCATCTACGCCAGGGACCAGCAAGCTTTTTCTACAAAGACCAGATAGCAAATACTTTAGGCTTTGTGAGCCATTTGGTCTCTATCACAACTACTCAACTCTGCCATTTCAGCACAAAAGCAGTCACACACAATTTGTAACCGAATGAGTGTGCCTGTATTTCAAGAAAACTTCATTTTAAAAAACAGCCATGGCCCGGCTGGGCGTGGCTCAGGGGTTGAGCGTTGACCTAGGATCCAGGCGATCAAGGTTCAGATTCCTGGTCAGGGCACATGCCCCGGTTGCGGGCTCCATCCCCAGTCCAGGGCATGCAGGAAGCAGCCGATCAGTGACTCTCTCATCATTGATGTTTCTATCTCTCTCTCCCTCTCCTTTCCTCTCTCTGAAATCAATAAAGATATCTTTTTTAAAATAAAAATAAAAATAAATAAAACAGCCATGGATTCAGCCCCAGGCAGTAGTTTGCTGGCATCTGGTCCATACTTTCATAAATAGGTACCCCAAAGCAATTCTAGGCTTACAGGTGTGCACACTGGCAGCAGGTTTGTCCTCAGGGGAACCGACCTGGTAAAGAAACCCAAGCAGGCCCTGGAAGACAATTCAGGGTCATTTAAATAGGGAGGTCCCAAGCCTGTGGGTACCCAAAGTGGACCCTGGAATGCCAGGCACAGGTTCCAGGTGGGCACCTCCACTTGGCCCTATGCAATCAAATGAGGCCCTCTAGATTCAGCCCTCTAAAGTCTGAGGCCCTGGGCAAGGGCTCCTCCTGCCCAGATCTAAGGGAACACAGGAGGTACACAAGAGTTTTTGAATATTTGAAAACACATATTTAATATTATAACACTTTCATCATAACATTGAAATCATGGCAGTGAATGCAGCAATTTTGTAATTGTAGCCAGAGAGGTGAGACATAGTATTTTTATAAAAGGAAAGAGGGGACCTCAAAATCAGATCTGGTTGGAGTAATATCTCTAATTTCTTGATGTGTAGCCTTGAGCAAATGACTTCATTTCTCTGATCCTCACTTTGCTCATCTATAAAATGGGGATAATAGCAATATTTTCATAGGGATTGGGAATGATTAAATAAAATGATAGAAGAAAAGTAATTAGCACAACACCCAGCACACAGCTAAAGCTCAATAAAAGCTAACTTTGATCATTCCAACGCTACCAGAACAGGGTGCAGTGGTTTTGAATCTGCAAATTGTCTTAGAATTCCCTCACTCCACTAACTTGCCTTGTCCAACACTCCTGAGTCAAACTCAGCCTACTATTCAAAAATGCTCAATATATCCACCATTTTTTAAAACTGGAAAGAAAAATGAACATCTTCCCATCACCTGCAGGTTACAATATTATGCAGCTATAGGAAGTGAAAGTCCCAATAATAAGCCATTTCTTCTTTAAATGCCTCCATGATATGATTTGGGGGAGGGGTGGAGGAAGTCCAACTTGACATAGCAGAGATTTTTTTTTTTAATGCTTTCCCATCATTCTCCAAGAAGCTGTCTGCAACTTAAACACACTCATCCACACACCACTACTCTCTCCTTCAGTTCCTCCAAACTCATTTTATAATTACTGTTTTCCATGTGCAAATCTCGGGTGATTACATGTTCAGCTGCATTGGCTGTATTTTACAGTAAGGTACTTGAGTGAAGAGGCTGACTGTATTCCACACTACAAGGTAAGGACTCTGTATACCCAAGTATTAGTTAACTGCACCTTCCATTAGCTACTTCCATTGTTTTAATTTCAAACTCTAACAATTTCTACTAAAGGATTACATTTAAATTCTAAAACACCTAAAAATGTTTGTTAAAGGAGCAGACCACTATCTAGTACACAGCTAAACATGAGTTAAAAATATATACAGCAAAACCCCAAACAATAAACAGTAAAAATAAAAAATAATTTGAGACGCTAAATTAACTTATAAAATATTATAATTTATATAAAACGCTGATTATAACATTATTCATTGGCTCATGGTTTCATAAATAAATTAAGCTGGTTACACTAAAGAAATAAATAAGGTTTTTAGATTCATTTTTAAAACAACTGTGCATTTCCTTTAATCTGCAAATGTAAAATGTCAATTGGCAAAGCTTTTAGTTATAGTGTACTTAGAAAAAAAATTCAGGAATTATTGGGTCTTGCACAAAAAATCCTCAATCTGTCAACTAACAGATGTTTCAGAGAAAATTATAAAAAGGTAGGAGAAAAACAACCTCTTATCCCTAAAATACAATTACACAAAATTTTTCTTCCTTTAAAATCAACATGTAAGGATTATATCTAAATAGCCTTTTACTAGAAAAGAATATATACATAACCACATACAGAAGAAAAAATTTTAGCAAAGATTATAACCTATTCCAAAAGGGGGAAAAAACAATCAATAACAAGGAATGGGAAATGGCTTAAATGTGCAAATTTCAGAGACAAGCATTTAGCTATATATTCTGGAAAGAACATAAAGAATAAATGCTATATCCTCACTCTGGGGTCTCTTAAAGATGACTGATCACCATGGAGGAATCACATGAACCTTTAGCAAAGGCCATGTTCAGGGTGCTGAATGGTACTTAGTAACCCCTCTAAAAACTGCAATTATAGTTAATGAGAGTCAATAACTGCATTAAGTCATCAAGTAACTGAGTTAAATCTTTTAGACAGTGTACGGAAGAGGGTAAGTTTAACTAAGACAAAAATATATTAGAAGAGAAATTATGGGACAGGATCCAAATCTATTCAACAAATATTTCTCAAGAATGAATCAGTAATATGGTTTCTGACCTTCCAGAGGCCCAAATCCCTCCATTTCAAAAGGGAACTGTAGCCCCCTTATTCAGGTTTACATGAGCAACTCTAGTGACTGTGCAAGGCTTCTGGGAATGTACACACTGGAAACAGATGAGAGCTCTTCTGGGAGTGTAGAGTGTGGTCTCAGATGGAGAGAGTCCTGTGTACCAGAGAGAGAAAATCCAGTGTTTCAACCTAGGCAAGAACCAAAGAAGACAGGAGAGGTCCATAGTTGTGTATATTAAAGAATTTACAAATATTGTGAGCAGTTAAGGTTGCTTTTATTTCAATAATCTGAAAACAAATAATGTAAGGATGCTCTTGATCAACACAGTAGCCATGTGCATTGAGTTTGCGCAATAAATCATACCCTAAAGAATCACCATGGGTCAATGAGAAGGGAAAAATGTGAACTTGGGAATCTAAATAATGTGTTCTCATCAGTTGAAAGGGAAGGAAATCAAGTTCCTCAGCATGAATAAAAGTTTTTCAGAAGTAGAATACTGTGAATATGATGAGAGCATTGAGTCATCACACAGCAGGGTAGACCAGTTGACTGCCACAGAACCTGCCCAGAATAGTCAGCAACATATTTCAGTTATAAGTAGCAATTTAGTTAATATGGCTAAATTAATGTTATTAATTTGAATTAGTAATATTAAGTGTACTTAATTTCTAAATTGATTTAGGTTTTATAAAGCTGTAGGAGTGCCCTGGCTGGGTAGCTAAATTGGTTAGAGCATAGTCCTGATGCACCAAGTTTGCTGGTTCAATCCCTGGTCAGGGCACATATAAAAATCAACCAATGAATGCATAAATAAGTGGAACAGCAAGTCAATGTTTCTCTCTCTCTCCCTCTCTCTCTCTCTCCCTCTCCCTCTCTCTAAGACTCAATAAATAAATAAATTTTTTAAAGGTGTAGGAGCTAAAAAAAAAAAAAAAAAACTTCACCAGCTTTATGTTTATACAATTAAAAGTATTCATTAAAATAATAATTTAAGTCAGCCCTGGGGTTCCATAAGAAATTATTTTCTTTAAAAGGGATTTCATCCAACTTTGAAAATCCTTGCTTAAGTGATTAAACATATACTGGGTTTGAGTCCTGAATCTCACATTTATTTTCTGTTTAGCCTTGAGAAAGTTAACAAACCTCTCCCAGGCTGGTAAGTAACTCAGTAAGTAACAATGGACTCAAGAATAGCATTGGATACTGCACAAAAATAAGGTGAGTCATGATTAAATCAGAGAAAGCCTAAGTGTTTAGTACAGTGCTTGAGGCTTAGTAAATAAATAACTCAGTGCAACAACTCTCATCATCATCAATATTAACTACAAACACCTGTGTTGTTTTCTTAACAGGTGATCAACCGGTTGTTAATAATTCGTTCTTTGTTCTCTAATTTCACATGACTATGAAAGCGATTCAACTCTGAGCCCTAATGTTCCCTTCAATCTCAATGATCAATTCTTGAAAGACAGTACAATTGATTGAATTATTAGAAAAATAATACTAGCTATGTGGTTGATTTTACATGGATCCCAGGAAGACAACTAGGCCCTTACGTACAATATGTCTCTTCCTATGAGTTAAAGCAGCATAACAATATTAAACATGCTGCAAAGGTTACCTGGTTTAAAAAATTTGCTAAGCAATTTGCACATGAGAGTAAAATTTTAGCCAGTGCATTAAATTGCATCATTTGTTCAAATTATTCACTGTCCTCTCTAGTTGGCTCATTCCCTACAATCTCCCTCCCATAGGACAAGAACCCTTCCTGCCCCACTGATATCAGGCTTGGCCATGTGACTTGTTTTGTCAAATGTAACATGAGTTGAAGTGACATGCCATATTCAAACAGATTTTATAAGGGCCATCTTATGAGTAAACCATTGGGGGTTCTTCTCTATCCTGAGAATGGCCCATCCAAGAAAAGGACTACTCCTTCAGCCTGAGTCCAGAATAAAGATAAAGTAGAGCAGAACCATGAACAACCCATGAGTTAGAAAGCCACTGAGACTTGGAGGTTATCTCAGCATAACCTAGCAATATCTGACTGATACACCCAGCTCACATGGATGCAGTACTAAAACAAAATATTTAACACTTAGGTAAAAATATAGGGCAGAATTTTCTCACTGATTTATCTCATTTCTTTCCTCCTTTGCCACAAATCCAGTCTAGGCAATGTCATCCTTTCAGGAACGAAATATCTCATTTTAGGTCTCTAGGTAAATGCAAATCACTTATAAATGATTCTTTTCAGGCACAGAAACACATAACCAACCATTTTAACTGCCTCCAAATGTATATTTTCTTTATTATTCCTGGGCCCTGATTTCTTTCCTAACAAACAGCTGTTCCTGATGCTTGGACTTCAAGATGAAGGCAGTCATTGGAAAGGCTCCAAGAAGGATAAATCCTGCTGATAATATAGTTGTGCAAACAGTCCAAGTGAACCACCAGAGGCAACAATGAGTGGGGGCTGGAACTCATGACTCCAATGATCAGCACAGCCCCATGAAGCATGCAGTTGTGCCTGGCCCAAGCATGCCTCACCACAGGTTGTCAAGAGAAGAGGGGACCCATACACCTATGATCCCATCTTATAGAGGCTCCATGAGTTCCAGATTGCACCAGGGATGCCACTGTATTTCCTTGAGCTTTCTGCAAGACAGATGATCCAACCCTGATAGGTCCCTGAAGGCAATATAACCATGTCTCATTCACATTTGCATCTCACTACCATTACACTTATAATTAAAGGCAGCTCAGTGTAGAACAGTAAAAAACATGGGCTTTGAGACAAGAGTCCAAGATTCAAATATCAATTTCTCCACTTACTTGGGTAAGGACCTTGTGAGAAGATGCTATTAAGTCCCCTACTTATGTCCCTCTGACTTGAACATTTTAGAGTTCCCCAAAGAATTTCCCATGCCAATATCAGCATTTCTGCTGAGGACTTCTTTTGAATCTTGGGAAACTACTCTGCTCTTGCAGGAGGCAAGATAGAAGTGCCAGGGAATAGAAAGAATTTCAGAGGGAAGGTAGGGAGAGGAGGTGGGAAGAGATTAACCAAAGAACTTATGTGCTTATATGCATAACCCATGGGCACAGACAATAGTGCAGTGAAGGCTTGGGCGGGGAGGGGGGAGCAGAGTGGAGGGGGTCAATGGGGAAAAAAGGAGACATCTGTAATACTTTCAAAATAAAGATAAATTTTAAAAAAGAAAAGAAAAAACAACTGAAAGAGATATATATTTATACACCAATGATCACAGAAGCACAGTTCACAACAGTCAAAAGGTAGAAACAAACCAAATGTCAATTGAAAGATGATTGGATAAACAAAGTATGGTATATAAATACAATGAAATAGTATTCATCCTTAAAAAGAAATGAAATTCTAATTCATGCTACATCATGGACGAACCTTGAAAATATTATGCTAAATGAAGTAAGCCAGGCATAAAAGGTCAGATATAATATGATTCTACTTAATATGAGGTAACTAAAATAGCAAATTCATAAAGACAGAAAGTAAAATAGTGGTAGCCAAGGGCTGGGGCAAGAGGGATTGGGGAGTCATTGTTTAATGGGTACAGAGTTTCAGTTTTGGGTGATGCAAAAATTCTGGACATGAAGACTGGTAATGGTTGCACATTGTGAATGTACTCAATACCACAGAACTGTACACTGAAAATAGTTAAAGTAAGTGTTATGTATATTTTACCATAATAAAAAATAAACATAATAAAAAATAAATTTTAAAAAAGCAAAGAAAAAAACAACCAACAGGAGCTGCTTCCTCATCCTTCATGTGAGATCATCCTAAGGCAGGTGTTTTATCTGCCTCCACAGTTTCCTTGTGAGATTAAACTCTACTCGCTACTGCAGTAACTTACTGAATAATGTCCCATCTATTGGCTGCCTTCTCCTCTCTGTCTCATATTCCTTGTTCACCTACTAGTGTTCCCTGTATGTCCCAAGTAATTACTTGTACTGTAATACTTGTCTTGGGGTCTGCATCTGGGAGACACTAACCTAAGACACAAGTTTCTTACCTTCTCTAAATAGCTCCATGGATCATAGAGTTATTTTTAAGATTAAATGAGATAATTCTTGATGTGCTTAGCACAATGCCTGACACATAGTAGGGACTTAATATGAGTTTCTTGAGCTTCTGGTCCAATACTTATCTGCCTTTTTGATAGAAGCTAAACTATGTCTCTCAGTTTCAGTAAGAGATCTGAAATCCAAGAGCTATTGTTTACCATCTTCTACCTGATTAACATCTCCTATGATTTAACATTCGCCATTTAACCACAAGGGGCATCAAAAGGAACTGGAATTTTGCATCAAGCTCAATCCTTTCCTTAGAAGTGGGCTGAGCCCACCAAGGATGTTAGCCAAGTTCCCATATATCAACCAGATCCTCCAAGGCAGATAGATCCCCACCACAGCCTCCTGACCTGGGGAATTAGAGGGCTGTGGGATTGACTGTACACAAGCCTCTTCCTTTCCTATTCCACAGAGCAACAAATGAAACCATGGAATCATAAAAATCCATTCAGGTGTACCCTTTGTGAAGGACCATTTTACTTCCTTGGGTTTCTCTTTACTTGTTTGCCAAAATACACAGATAATTTTGTTAACACAATGATCACCTATGCCAATTAGCAAACCAAAGGAACAGGTTACTGACTCTGGTGGACTTTCCTAGATAAGGCTGATGAGAAATCCAATTTCTATTCCCTACTTTTACAGAAAAGACCTTTCTAAATATGTGTTTTTTCAAAAGTTGAAAAAACAAAAGTTGACTAGACTTAGATGTTAAAAAGAAAGCTCTGCCCTGGCTGGCGTGGCTCAGTGGTTAGAGTGTCAGCCCACACACTGACGGGTCTCAGATTTGATTCTCGGTCAAGGGCACATGCCTGGGTCCAGGTTCAATTCCCAGCCCCAGTCAGAGGCAACCAATCGATGTGTCTCACACCGGTGTTTCTTCTCTCTTTTTCTCTCTCTTTTTTGCTCTCTCTCTCCAACTCCCTCCCTTCTTTACACTCTCTCTAAAAACCAGTGGGGGGGAAATATCCTCAGGTAAGGATTAACAAAAATCAAAAAATATTTTTTTAAAAAAAAGGAAAGCTCTCTTCCCCAA